TCACAATAGCAAGAAACTGGAAACAACCATGCTGCCCATCAAAAAGAGGACTGGATTTTAAAAATGTGGTACATATACATGATGGAATACTACGCAGCCATAAAAAAGAACAAAATCATGAATTTCGCAGCAACCTGGATGGAACTAGAGTCTATAATACTGAGTGACCTCTCACAGAAACAAAGATCCGAGTATCACATGTTCTCACTCATATAATGGACCTTAAACATCCAATGCAATACTATAAGAAAATGACTGACGGTACTGGGAAACTAGGGTGGGGGGAGATGGGATTAACAGTAGCAAATATCTGTCTGGGAACGGGGAAACACCTCGTATCAACAGGGTGCCTGAATGAAACGTAATTGTATACCTAACCCTTAACTGTACCCCACGACATCATAATAAAAAAGAATAATAATAAAAAAAAAAGAGTTATGAACGAGGTCAGGTATGGTGGCTCATGTCTATAATCTCAGCACTTTGGGAGACCAAGACAGAAGGATCAATTGAGCCCAGGTGTTTGAGACCAGCCTGGGAAATACAGTGAGACCCTGTATCTAGAAAAAAAGTGAAAGAGTTACAAACTATAATTATATGAGAAAGAACTGCCAAAAAGTCTGGAATTTATTTCTAAAAAATTGTGTATTTATTCTTAGTCTTACATGTCTAAACTTCAGTCACCTTCAAAGTACTCTCCATTTGTTGCAACACACCTTTCAAGATGCTTTTTCTACTGCTCAAAACAGTTTTTGAACTAGTCAATTTTAATGACTTTTAGTGTTTCTGCCATTTTTTTGTTTCACTTCTTCCACACTGGCAAAACGTTTCCCTTTGAGGACATTTTTCATACAGGGAAACAAAAGAAAAGTCGCTCAGACAGAGATCAAGTGAATAGGGAAAGTGGGGCATAGGGATCATGCTGATTTGGTCAAAAACTGTTGAACACTCAGTGTCGTGTGGGCAGGCATGTTGTCATAGTAAAAGAACCAGTCACCTGTTTGCCACAACTCCAGGACGTTTCTTCCACAAATCATCTCTCATAACAACACTAGCTGGCACACTGATGCCAATGTATTCTTAGAACGCTTGCCTAGCGGGAAAAGCCTGTACTCAAAGGCCCTCCCTCCAAAAGATAATTCCAGGGTTTCTTTGAGGGGGTCCCCACTCGTAAATACTGAAGTAAGGGGAAAAAAGCAATTGGCAGGGTTCAAGTCAAATAGCCATATCGCATCTGGATAAAAATACAACATGACATAAATTGTGAAGTATTTGCATATGTCTTGCCTCTAAGCTCAATGACTGCAACCTGAGCCATCTAGCCCTTTGTGGAGTAACAGCAGAGAATAAACAAAATTGTTGAAAGCTGAGAGATTAAGTAGAAATGGACCATCCACAGGAAAGAGTTCTATTTGCTTACATGTTTACAAATAATGCAATACGATTCCACTATTGAGAATTAATACAACACACTACACATTCTTGGGATCACTTCACACTTACAACACATCACTTTTAAAATTAAAGGGATCAGCTACTAGTATTATGTAAGGCTGGGTTCCCATCTTGTCACAAAGACTGCTCATGTTCATCTTCTATTTTCTGAGCCCCTACCTCTAAAGCGTCAGTGTAAGAA